GTTCACGATATCAAGGATGGGAAAAATGTGATATGAAATAAAGAAGATAAGGAATTTGCAAATATTTTGTGTACAGCAAAACTTTCCGCACTGTCTTACAAAATAATGATCCGAACTGCTTACGCACCTGTAACTTGTTATTCTCCTTGAGGATACGGTCATTATCTCTGGACTTCTCCTCTAGCAGTTCTTCCTCCTGCTCCCGAAGCAGATTCAATTCCCTAGCAATGAGCATTTTTTTCCGCACGTACTCTTCCCTCTGTTTCGCAAGTGTTTGCTTCTGCTGTAGCAGCTCATTCTTTACGGCTAAACACACACAACACCAATCAGTCACAACTTAAAAATACACGCAGCGAGCTTTTGTCGCCGCAGAGTTACCCGAGATTCCGGAAAATAACTTGCGTTTCGGAATTAAACACTCGTCGATATTTCTGCTACATATTTCACTGCAAAAGTAGTAGTACAAGAGTATGCTTATATGTAAGCATCATGACGAGAAGTTAAGACTAAAAGGGATCACATTATAGGAAGATCAATGCACACTGAATCTGGAAGCAAGCAGTTGTGACCTAATTTATGGAACTACCCTGGAAAGAAAGACCTGTCGAGACAATTGGCCTCCAGGCCAAGATCTGAACCCAAAGTCTCTGGAATGCACAGAGTGCTAACCACAAAATAGCAATCTTCCATCCAAAACTGTATGGTATAACACAGAAGTTTTGAATGAGATCAGAATATATGCATATATCAGTATTTCTTAAAAGTACATTAGGAACGTAACTTTTTCAGATTTAATAAAAGATTTTTAAAATGACCTACCAGTGTAACCAACTCCTTGCAAAAATATTCATGTTTAATAACAAAATATCTGGCATGGGCTATAATAAAGAATTAAACAGGAATCCTACACATTAATTCATCAATCGTGAGTTGATTAATCTTAAATAATGACTCTCAAATCTTCGGACCAGATGGACGATAAAATAAAATTTTCTATCTTAAATATTCTCTTAAATAATAATAATAATAATAATGAAATCTCGTAAGATTCACGATGCAACTCTTCAGCACTTACAATGTATGTGATAAGGTAACTAATTTTATAAACCCACCTTCCTTCTTAGCTGCTTCTGATTTCTGGTCAACAGTGGTCTGGCCAGCAGATGCAGTACCACCAGCACCTCCAGATGAAGGCGTCAGTGTTCCAACAGAAACTGTGTTTCAGAAATAAAACTATTACATCTAGAACACATCAGTACCAATAAATTTTAAAAATCTGTTTTCACGAAAGAAAACAAATTTATTTATAATAATAAAAGCACAGAATAAATACAAGGACAACTCAATTCAAATGCACACTACATAAATGAAAGTAGAGAAAAGAAGTCATGCTTACCGATTCAACCAAATACATTACCGAGTCAAAGCAACTGGAATTCTAAGAACGCTGGTGTCAAAGCCTTGTTGTTTGCGTGGAAACGTACAAGAAACTACGAACTTAACTCAATATTCTCCAAAAGTAATTTTAAGTCATACCAGATGCAGAAGGCATCTGAACTGGCGGAGGTTGACTCATATCTGCGTATACTATCCCCCCTTCAGACCAAACTGGAGGCTGCGAAGTCGGGGGAACAAATTCCTGTAACACAGCAATCCCAGTAATATTAAGGCGTGAACTGAACTCCCTACCACACACTTCAAACATAATTTTAACACAACAATTAACCAATGCAAACTTACCTTCATGAGCAAGACACGCGACACAACGCATTCTCTCCGCTGCCAGCATAAAAAGTATGTGTACAACTTGTAATGACGTCTACTGCCACTCAATTTAAACTTTATCATCCTGTTTTTGAGGTTTGCTGCCAGCAACAACATACGGTGTGTAAGACTTGAGGTTCTCACAGCGCAATAACCCAGAAGACAGGAATCTTCAACATATGGTGTATCGCCAAATAATATAGATAAACCAATTCAAACGAGAGTGTTTGCATCACTGCAGTTACTGTACCTACAACTCATTATACACATCATTTACAAACTACGAGCTGCGATATTCATTAAATATATTTAAGATGAGAACAAAGCGCGTTCATGCACTTTACCCGCATTAAACATATCGTTATTATTACCTTTTTAATTATATTTACTCATACGCGTTTTGTATTATAACAGTTAACGTGTGTAACATGCAGACACACAAGCAGAGAGTAATAAAAATAAAACTCTTTATTTAATAACTCCAGCAAGAAAATCTGATCACAATTTACTCCTTAAGAGTATTTTAGCGTCACATACTGAAGGTTGTTCCAATGGTCGTAACGTCACATTCCCACAGGAGAATTTTTTCCAGTCAAAGTAAGATCCATTCACGTTTTCTTTTAGTTGGCGATACGTTTTAAAACACGACTCATGAAACCACCAAAAAGCAAACACAGCAATAATCAGCAAGACATGCTTCAATACGACGGAAAACGCGATATACATCAATCTGAGCTAGAGGGTTAAAAACAAAAGACAAGAAAGCTCTGTACTGACGATTACCAAAACAACTTCACATAAAGTTCACTTCAGTTACATATATTGTCATAAGACGTAACTACGAAGTCAATTAGCATGCACCATCATGGGTGCTATGTGAAGGAACTGTACACTTTGACTTACGCCTGAATAAGGAGGCGGATGCGCTGTTGGCTGCTGGTAATAACTTTCATAGCCGTACTGTTGGTAATTTGAATGGTAACCTGGTGCAATTGGTGCTCCCATACTGGAGGACGGCCCTCCGTATGATGCAGCAGTTGACGCAGAGTTACTGTAGCTGCCCTGTAAATATATGCTACTTTCAGGTTACTGTTCCATGCACACTCTACCCCGCTTTACAGACACACACACACACAAACATCTTACTAAAGCAGTCGGCAGTCATTCAGCTCTTCAATAATTCAATGCTCTTATGAACAATGAAGCTTCACCACATCACAAGCGAGTTCTATCCTGAGCCACCGCAACGCAGTACACATCTCCAAAACCAATTTCATTCAGATAAATTTTAATATTATTTCTCGATACACAACTTTCTATGGTGGTCTCATACATAGCTCATCCCATCTGAATTAGTTTTCAGTATTATAGATCGCGCGAGAAGTGCTGGCACTTACGCAAAGGACTGATTTTGGTCATGTGAGATGGACCCATCCAAAGCAAGTGCTAGAGGGGTGTCAGCTTCAGTTGGTTTGTAGCTCTAGCTGTGTTTTGATCGGTGGTTCACCGCAGCTGAGGCTGCGTGACCCCCACTACTGAACTCCCCTCTCTCGGCTCACACGTCGCGTATTTAGGTGCCACGACTACTCGCGTGACCTGTAGGTCAGTGGTGAATCCCACCACAGAAGTCAAGTTGTGTGGGAATGCATTATTATTAAATACCCCCAATATTTATTATCACTGAGAAATTGATAACATGAAGAATAGTTCAACATTCTCAACATCTTCAGTATTATCTCAGTTAATAACTTAAAGATTTTCTCGTAATTTCCACCACTCACAAGAAACAACACAGCAAAAGTCACATCCAGTATTTGCTACATGCATTGATTTCTGCGGAACTTGCTAGAATGATACAGCATAGAAAGTTAAATTTTAACAAATGTACGTAAGGTATATTACAGGCTGGCTTCTTTGATATAAACAGCATATTTTAAAATGTGGACTCTATTATTCTGGACTACAGGGGCACAGAGGATCCGTTACCAGCACGTCTACAGACTGCCAGCTATAAACAGCTTTGGCAGTAAAACTGCAAGTACTGTCTAAGCAAAACATTAAATAAATCCGTGGCGTAACAGCTCCAGAGAGCCAAAGCCGACTAGCTGACTGCTGGCCTCACGTTCACATGCCTAAGCAGAGGTGAACGATCATCCAACCAGATATAGGGTGACGTGTGGTCAGCACGACGAACCCCCAGCCATTGCTAGCTTTCCTGACCGGATTACGCTACCCATTGTAGCTCCCCAATTTCCTCACGATGTTGGGCTGGCACCGGTCCCATACACCGGTTGAAAGCCCATGAAAAAATTTCTTCTCCCCCGAGACTCAAACCAGCGCGCATTCCGTATCGCCGGTCCGAAGCATGATGCCTCAGACCGCGCGGCTACATATTATTGAACAAAAGTAGTAACTAGTGAGGAATCACTTCTTATGATGAAAGTGATGGAAAAAGGCTTCAATTCTGTATGATATACACACACAATGTTAAGAAAGAAAGTGACACCAATTATTTTGCTCAGTATAATGTTCTCCTTACTCGTTAAACTATGGACACGCCGCAGAAAGACAACAGTGTTCTGTATCATGCTTGTTCTGACGAAAGAGATACTGCTTGTAATTTATCTTTGGCGGGATGTTACTAACATCCATGCTCACCTTTACAAAAGCCAATACATATCAGTCTTAAAAGAATTACTGTAAACAACAGACCTCAGTATACATATTGGGTGGAGGTGCAGCCATAACCTCGTATGCGTGCTGCGGTGGCTGAATATGTGAGTAGTGGGGTTGGTGAGACAACCCTGTAGCAGGTGAAGACTGTCTCCATGGTTCATCTCTAGATGAGCTCAGTGAGCTCCGATGAAGTGGCGAGAAGGGCGAGCGTCTGCCTCTCGGTGACAAGCTACGATCTCGCCTATAATGCAATAGAAAAGGAATTTCGGCAACAGACACTTTTCAGATCGATAATTACGTTAAGCTCATTATTATGTTATACACAAATATGAGAAAAAAGGAGGCACAGGAATGAAAATGAAGTTTTCATACCTGTCAGATAAGCTTCTGTCACGTCTTGGTGATAAGCTGCGGTCTCTTCGGGGAGAGATGCTCCACTCTCTCGATAACCTGGATCTTTCACGCCTGTTACGTGGAGATGGGCTCTGGTCACGTCGACTGCCGCGCTCATGTCGATCTCTTGACCAACTTCTTCTGTCACGTCTCCACTCTGAACTACGATCTCTCCTGCGAGGTGAAATGCTTCCGCCACAATCACGGCGGCTGATACGTCGATGTGGTGACAGAGATCTATCGTGGCGACTATGCAGAGGTGAAAGGCTTCTGTCATGATGAGACCTTCGACGAGGGCTGCGATCTCGTTTTCTGTTTGTTGGTGATGGATGATCCCCAGATGCTGACGGTAGAGGGGAAGGACTTCTGGGCCCTCTTCGACTGGTTTTTACCTCACCACTAGTTTTAAGGTCAAGGTCTTCATTTGATTCTTCTACACCAGGTGGAGCCAAAGCTGAGATAGGATTCTGAGAGGCAGAAGAACCACTTGCTTTCTCAAATGATGTTTTATCTGTACTTTTATTTGTCCCCTCTCTCTTTTGCAGCTCTGGCAGCTGATTTGCAAGCCTTGGGTCTTTTCTTGTAGACCCAAACCTGCTTTCAAACCCTTCCCTTCTCATAAGATCTTGCTGCTGTTTTCCAATAGTCAGTCTCGGATCATTCTTCAACTGGGATGCCTTTTCACCTTGTGTCATGAGTCGGTCTTTTCTTGCAAGCTCGTAAGAGGTGCCTAACTCTTCCTTACGCTGTGCCAAGGCCTGCTGTGGCACAAGCCGTGGATCCTTCCTCACAGGAGGATATGTAATGTCTGAAACTTCTGAACCTGGCACATCAGGCTGTTTCAGTGCAAGCCTCGGGTCATTCCGTGCTGGTGCAAATCGTGTCTCTGAAGACTCAGACAGCTGCCTGCTGGCCAGTCTCGGATCCTTCCTGTAAGTTACGGCACTTGGACCTCTGTGATCCTCCCGTTCCAGACTGTCATAATTTCTCCTGCCCCTTTCATCGCGAGTGTATCCACTATCACGAGGACCTCTAGGCCAGCCAGAAAGATTGACACTTGCTCTTGACTGTTGGTGATGTGATTTACTCTCTATGTCAAACATATCTTCCACCAACTGGTGTTCTTCAAAATCTGGGTCCACATCAGGAAACAATGGCTTTTCTGCTTTGAATGATCTCTGAAAGCTTGGAACTTTTGCCCCTCTTTTAAACTGACCCCTTTTACTGAATCCAGCAAGACCTTGGGCTCTGTATGAAAATTTCTTTCCACTCCCATCCTCTGGAACAAAGTCTTCAAGAGCGTGTGACGCATCATTTTCGTCAAGATCCCAATCATCAATCGCATTCAGGTCATCCACGTCAATATCGAAGAGGTCACCACTGCCGGTCTGCGCCTTACCAACCGCACCCTGACTAATCTCACCTCGCTTGTGTTTGTTCTTGGACCTGCCACGCCCATGTGACAAACTTTTTCCGTTACGTATAGCAAGCAAATCAAAATATTTCTTGCCCCGGCCAAAACTTAATGCCCGATCAGGATTCTCAGCCCCGACATCATCTAGGTATAGATCATCTTGCAAATTCTCCAGTTGTTCTAGTTCACGTGCAACTTCATCCAAATCTTCCATTTTCATTCTGTCGATCAAAAATGAGTTCAAATATAGGGAAACCCCAGATATGAAATTTAAAAATTACAACTTTTCTATCTAAAAGAATATCCCTAGTATAAATTCTCAAGAGAAATGCACTATGTATTTCTTATAAATGTTATAAAATTCATAGAAGATCCACAGAAAGTGGAAAGATCTTTTATAAATGTTATAAAATTCATAGAAGATTCACAGAAAGTGGAAAGACCTTAGAAAGAAGAATTATCATGAAAGTCATGCTGTGCCAGGAAAAACACAACTTGACTGAAGGTAAATTTATCACAGACAGAACTGCAACTTCACTGCAATTAAAATAATTTCCACTGACACTGTACAATGTATGGACCAGAAGAAATTCTCAGTTAATTATTAAGAAACTGACATAAATTCTAGTGTATCTACTATTTATCTAGAAACTGTAACATTTTAGTATATACTTTTAGAAAGGCGGACAAATACCACTCTCACTACACGTATACCATGTGTTCAAGAAACGCCTTCTTGAACTCATACGAAATTTCTTATCCTAACTTCAGCTCATTATATACTATAGACAAACTCAGGTTATTTCTATTTTGATTCAAATAAAGGCTGCAATAAAGTAACAATTTGTGGACACGTGCAGTTCAAAATCCTTTGTTTTCGTGCGTTACTTAAAAATGTAAATACTAAAATATACAAAACCATAATTTTACTTGGCATTTTGTATGTTAAGAGAAGAACACAGGGATAAAGTAGCAGGAGGCTGTAAAAAACTGCAAATTGAGAAGCGTCATAATTTGTTCCCTTCACTGAATATTAAGAGGATGTTCAAACTGACGAGGATTAGATGCATGCAACAAAAACAAGAGAAATTTCCACAAGAGTTTGTTTGAAAACCTGACAGAAGACAATTTGGAAGACCTACACAAAGATGGAAGGTTATTAACACAAGATGATGTCAACAAGGTTTGTATGCCTCAGGAACGGAACTGGTGGCAAACTCTTGTTAATATGAAAATCAATCTCTGGCTTTCATGAAAATGTAATAAATTTCTTAACTAGATGAGAAACTAGTAGTGTCTCAGGAAGAACTTTACTAGAAAGGAATAATAAGATTAACACTAATCTAAAATCTGACAATTCTGAATCCTAGTCCAAAGAAAAATTTTCCATGCCCTGCACTAATCAAAGAACCCCTCCTATCTGATAATATTGTAATACTAAAAAAGCTGTAGTAATTTAAATTGTCATCTTACATTCCTCATTTTATGAGGAAAGATAAGTAACTGGTATCTTTATGACACTGCATCACTTCCTACTTTGGAAACAGTATGATAGATCTTCATGAAACTTGGTACAAACATCACACCAATAGAGGCTACTCCACTTCTGTACACACATCATTGCTATTAATAATACTGACACAATGATTCTGTGATCTTGTGAGGTGGGAGCTGTATGTTTCGAGATAACTTTAAACCAACATAAATGCTTAATTCTGTACATAGGTACATCATAATCATAGTTACAAACTGTATACGAAAGTTTTTATATGTTAATAATCAGGAACATGGAAATAGCAAACAATTTTGCAGTTATACCCAACATATTTAATGTGATGGAACTACTATTTTTCAACTTCTATGGATATGTTCCAACTATATGTCCTAATATTAAATAAAATAAATGAAAAGTACACACACAGGCCAATTTTGTATTGTTTTTGAAGTTCTTTCTATAAAGTACTTGAATAGAACTTTATGTATTTCAAGTTCGTTCACCGTTTTAATTTACTTGATTTCGGTGTAACTACCACGACGTTAAATTATGTACACTTCTTAATATTGGGGAACAGCTTGGATAAAATATTATACAAGGCCTACCACGGGCTTCGTATAATTCAGTACAGCACTCTTCCACGAATATAAATAACTCCCACGAGCGTAATTAATAGAGAAAATACTTCCTACACAAAGAAAGCCATTTTGTTCCACAATACTCTCAAAATACTTCAACTTTGACAACACAATCCTTGAAAGCTCAGAATTAATTACAATGCAGATAACAACTTACAATTACAATAACAACAGATTTTTTAATAGCTTCACGCCGTTCCTTACTTAAAACTAAAAAAGAATTTTCAATTTAAACGTTGACAAACACACCACTTTCACCATTTTGTCACAGATACAAAATTTAGGCATTAAACTACGGCCACAGATTAATAAAATAATAAAACTTGAACATAATTTGGTAACTCATCCCTAACCCTATACAATACGCACACTGATGCATTAATCCCACTTTTTTGAAATAATTATATGAAACATAAATAGAGAATGCACAATTATTAATTGTTGAAGCGGGTGGACTCAGAGTTACCACCAGGCTTTAAAGGGTTATGCACTGGCTAATATTCTCTCTCATTTTAAGTGGTTAGATTGACAAACGATGTTTCAGAACGGGATGCTGAGATTATATGGTACTGGGACGGACAAATTGACAGAAGGCTGGAAAAACTGCATAAGCTGCACAATTTGTACACTTTACTAGTGATTATTAGGAAGATCAAATAAAGGAGGACCCATCAACTAATGGGTCCCAAGAGTAATGAGATGGGAGCATGAAAAGTACACAACAGATATTATAAATATGAACACAATATTTGTTGGAAAACCTGAAGGGAATACACTTGTAAATCTAGGTATAGATAGGTTATTAAATGGATCTAACCTAAATAGGTTTGGAGAGTGAGGATTGGATTAATCTGGGTTAGGACCTGAACCAGTTGCAGGCTCTTGTTAACATGGTCTGAAATGTTCCAAAAAAAAGTTAAGGAATTACCCAGCAAGGCTTGTGAACACACAATTGTCATTTATTAATTACCCCTCCTTTAGAGAACAGGGAAGAATGATAAGAATAACAATCAGGACAAATTTACAATTAAAAGAAAATATCTGGACACATGGAAAATGTTAATCAATAAAACTTTAATGAAAGGAATAATTCAAAAGGCAAATCTGTGCCACACAAAAGAATTATTTTATATTTAACACAAACATCACTGATATGAGTACAAACAAAAAAATAAACATAAGTTAGAAGTGTCTTATAGGTATAGAGTCTATTCAATAAAGAGAAAATATGGGGGAGGACATTTTCATCATCTGACAACAACACTTTATACTGAAATAATAATCTAAGAGCTTGACAAAGGATTGCTAATTCAATCATACAAAAAGAAACATCAGAAGGCAAAAAATGCAGCCATATGGTTGTATTGTGCAACAAAAAGAAAGCTGTAACCAACAGTGGAATGAAAATACTGTATCTTAAGGGTTGTTGCGCTGTGTAGTCTGGTTGATGTTAACCAACGTTTCAGAGGTCATACTGCCTCCGTCATCAGGGCGATGATTCAGCGCAACAACCCAGAAGACGGATATCTTCATACTCAGAGCTGTGAGAACCTCAAGTCTTACACAGAAAAGACATGTTTATGATCAATAAATATAACTTATTACATACATGGTATTCATATGCATTTACTGAAACTTTCTTTGATGATTGAATTTGAGAGATATGGAGGGGTACTTAAAACAATTAATGAACTGAAAATACATCTTATTTAGCAGGATTTCAGGTTTTCATGGTGGTGAGCACAAAGATGGCTGTCTTCTGGGTTGTAGTGCCATGTAGTCTGGTAGAAGTTTACCAACGTTTCAGATGTCCTTACTGCTTCCATCATCAAGGCACCCTGATGATGGCAAGCTTCTATCAGACAGACACTCACTGCTACAACCTGGAAAATGCCACATGTTATATTATACCAGCAGAAACTACAAATATATATACTGTGTGAGATAATGAAACACATTGAATAATGCTTTCCAATCAGCAAATGACGTCATGAAATACTTTAATTTTTTGATACAATATTTTTATTTTCCGTCTATACACAAACTTAAAATAATGTTGTTTAAAATTATAACATTCTCAGTAGACACTGCATCATGTTACATTTTTTGTATTCGACGACATGTTTCAATGTGTATTACATCATCATCAGGTCTATCAATTTTAATATATTTTTTAAAAACTGTAGTACATTTTGCGTTGCGTTTATTGATTATTTTAATTTGTTTAATTTTAAGTTTTTTCTCTTCCTTTTGGTTTGGAGGTTGTACTTGGATGTTTTATATCTGTAAAATTAATTTTTCAAGTCGTGATTTTGGATATTGACATAGGAAATATAATAATTTAAAAAGTTAATACATAATACAACGTAATAAAATATAAATGAATCAGAATAAAATGTATTAAAAGGTAGTAAAACATACCGGGTTGTAATTGATGTGCTGTGTGTCCGATATATCCAAAAACATACAATCACGACTTGAAAAATTAATTTTACAGATATAAAACATCCAAGTACAACCTCCAAACCAAAAGGAAGAGAAAAAACTTAAAATTAAACAAATTAAAATAATCAATAAACGCAACGCAAAATGTACTACAGTTTTTAAAAAATATATTAAAATTGATAGACCTGATGATGATGTAATACACATTGAAACATGTCGTCGAATACAAAAAATGTAACATGATGCAGTGTCTACTGAGAATGTTATAATTTTAGATAATTTTAAACAACATTATTTTAAGTTTGTGTATAGACGGAAAATAAAAATATTGTATCAATAAAACACAAACATGACGTAATTAAGATATAAATTTAATTTTTTGATAGACGCAACATTATACTTTTTACACCACTCACTAAATCAGCATACATGTTTTCTGCTTGGTTTTCTGGCGCTAAGTGTTCTGAGCCTTGTAGAACGTCACCAACCAAGTCCACTTGCGTGGTGATACTTCGCTTTGGAGTGGTCAACAGCTTCACAACCTGCTGTAAAACCTTCCCATCATTGTCACTATTTATATTAGTGTCATCATCCACTGGAGTTTCTTTCAGTAACTCATTTGCACTTGTTACTTTCACTTGTTCAGATGTACAAGACATACCGTCATTTACTAAACCTTCCTTATTGCACGTACTTGTAACGCCTGTCCAGCAATCCCTGCAAATCTTGTTGCTCAAAGACCACAATTCACGTTGATGCTTTGCCAGATTAACGATATCTTGCTCGTTCACAAGCAGCGGAGATTTGTGTGACGACCGAACAACACTACGACATTCTTCAGTTCCCTTTTTTTGTTCACTGGAATCAAACTCAAGACATTTTTCACTATTGACTGAATCATCAACAGATAACGGTAATAATGGGCAACTGGAGAGACAGCCACAGAGATGTGGTAAGAAAAACAATGGCCCACATGTTGAATGTGACAAATGAACAGTGCTCGTTACTGACTGACTTCTTGGACAATGGTTTGTATTCTCAAATGTGCTGTGACAGGGGAGATGAGGCTGATGGTGTGTGCAAAACTTTGCCATTAAACTGTGGGGATTCAGTTCTGAAACGTGATCAGTTGCCTTATCTCCTGAGGGTGAATGGCAGGAAGACAGCATTTTAATGAATGAGAAGCATTCAGACATTTGGGATGTGGAGATTTCTGGAACTGTCGATAAATTCTCACTGGTTGAAATGTCTTCTCTTGTAGCAGATAATTCTGGTCTTGAATGGCACGATCTGTTATTCTCCTTACCCAGTTCATGTCTCTTTAGCTTAACAACAGCCTGCATTTTCAGCTTAGGATCTGAAATCAAGATAGATTATGTATAAAGCAGTGCACAAACAGCCATTCCATGTAGGACAATTTTTCTTCTACTTAAAACTAAGAAAAACGATGAACTTGAAAGACAATACCACAAAAAAAACGAGTGAATGCCAGTGACGGAAATTTTAAAAACAGAGGACTTCATAGATTATTACATCACTAATTACAATACATTATTTAATTTCCTTTTAATCTCCTAAAAATCCCCCAAAACATTGGTACCCATCTACATTTTCACATGTCATCTTAACCCAGAAGACCATCACGAATGTGTATTCATTCATTGGTTGTGGGAACATTTTCAAAAATTCTAATTTTGAAAAATGTGTCAACTGATACTTTTTTAAAAATCACCAGAATGATTAGTTTACAGCCTCCAGCTTCTAGAAGGTACAGACTGGACCAGGATACGGACACTTGAGACATCTCACTCTAAAACAGCAAAGCAAATGACGACTCCATTCTGTACACGGAATGAGTAAGAACAAAATCAACAACTTACCATTCAGCAAGGGAGATGCCTCCATACACAGTTTCTGAACGCTATCACTAAACACATGGCTCTCTATTTTCTTGCACGCTCCCCGTTTAGACCTACGCAGAAGGGGTTCACCTGGTATGGCTGATTTCAGGACGTTCTTAGAAACTGATTCAGATGTTATATTATTAGACAGACCTTCCTCTAATCTTACGTTTGTAACTACAGCAGTAGCAGATGCAAGAACTTGAGGATCTGATTTTGGCAGGTCTAAATCTTTCGTATGTTTTGATGAAGCTTCTGTCCCATCACAATTTTTGATAAATTTTGTGGGAGAATCTTCTGGTATTTTACTGCCACTGTCTTGTACATCAGAGACTTTAGCTTCCACTATTACACCTGTATTTTTAGAAATTATCGAGGTTTTTGTTGATTTTGGAACAGATCTGCGTTTAGCTGTTACTCTGCAATAGATGGTATTTGCATTTCTTCTTCTTCTTCTTCGTCTGATGCCACAGGTAGTAGCCAGCAATTTAGTTAATTTGGAAGTACTTTCAACAATTGGTTCTGTATGACCTGCTTTAATATCTTTGGTTATTCCCACATCTGAAGTACAACATTCATTTGATGTTCCTTGCAGTCGGTTCTGGGAGTCTCTACACTGAGACGACTCTGATGCTTTATCTACAGACGCTGACTGTCCTAGTGTTTCTACACTGCCTTCGGACAGTCTTGCCTGTTCATCACAAAGGTTTGATTTATTGGTTTCAGCTCCATTAATTTCTTCCCAAGGTGCCGTCACAGTTTCTCCCTCATATTGTTCCTGAAATGCATCTTCTACTGGCAAGTTATTCGGTGTTACCGTGCCTTTGTTTAATGGCAGGGGTTTCGAGGGACCAACATTTGACCCTGATGGTGTTGGATTTTCACGAAGTGATGTATTTACACTCATGAATGGCAAGTTCTCCTTATTTCCAGAAGGTGAAGTAGGTCCTACATGATGCGTTACTTCCGATAAAGATACTGACGGGTTTTCCTCATCAGACTTAAGTTTTGTTTCAACCTCAGCAGGGAAGTATGTATCATTCTGTGAAATGTGGTGTCCTAAAAAATGTATAGGTGACACAGTGGCTAATTGTTCTTGCAATGAAGAAATTTCAGCATCACTTGAGGAATTATCTCTTGGTTGTGATGTTGCAATTAATGACAAAGAGTTGGAAACAGGGATAACTGTATTGCGGTCCACTAGTTCTACAAACTCTGTTGTGCTAGACTTGTCTGCTGTACTGAGAGGGGGTTCTATTTCATTTATTATACATCCTGATGATTCGCGAAGTACATACCATTTCATCTCTTTGTCAGTCATTTCTCTGCATCCTTCTTCAAGTGAAAGTAGCATTGTCACAGCCGTAAGTTTATCTTCTATTTCAGATCTGTCTTCCATTGAAGACATTATTTCCTTACCACTTATTTTAGGCAATGATGCAGATAATTCACCAGTCTTTATTTCTGGTTCAACTGGTGCGTCCTCTTCACTTGCCGTATTAATCTTCAGAGCTGTTAGTCGAGCACATTCCCTTCCAGGCAACGAAGTAGAATCACCAGCTGTGTCCTTACTGTCTAATTTTGAAACATTACATTTACAAATAACTCCACAAACATTTGGTGTAAAATCTGTACTTCCTGCATCACCGAAGTGTCCAGATGCACATCCACCATCTGCGGACAATGCAGCCGATTTCCCTTCGCCCATTAATTCAACCACGACTTTGTTTTCCATTTCAGACACAATTGTCACCATTTCTTTATTCTCTGTTTTATCCAATAGTGACAACTGTTCGTGTTTTTCTTCATGATCGAATTCCGCCGTATTTTGCAGTGATGTGGACCTTCCTGACTCCTCTAATCCACAAACACTTTTCCTTTCACTTCCTGTTTCTGAAATGAGTACTTCCTCTTTCATATTCCCTGCTGCTGTTACAGGTGCAGATTTATTTACATTCCCCTCATCACAAACAATGACGAATCTTTCTCCAGCCTTTCTTTCTTGAGTTGCTATTTCTTGACAAACATCCTGCAGCAATAGACTAGAACTTTTAACTGACAAGGCTATTTTTTTACTCCTAATTAAAGGCAAAGGTATTTTTCCTATATTCTCATGTGCAATATCCGAACAGCCTTCTCCTGACCTTCGTTCATCAGGTGTACGACGACCGTCTCTTACTTCTATGCTCTTCTTCATACCTGGAGACTCTCCATGTTCTCCAACCACTCCACTGACATTGCAGTCTTGAACTGCACCAACATCAGATTTCACACGCACACTGCACTCATTCTCCTCCATTAAAGCATTATATAATGAAGTGTCAGAACAATTCAGTGCATCTGAATCTGTACTATCAGGAACTGATAAATCTGTCAGTACGTTCTCCATTTTTCTGACAATCTCAACAGGACCAGATAAAGGCGCATTATCATCACGCAACTGATTCTTGATATTCGCTGTTAACAAAACTGGCAACTCAGTACTTTGAATAGAAGTAAAAGACTGTCCTAATAATTTTGACACTGAGGTATCACTTTCATCAATATCATCTTCGGATAGTATTTTAACCTTCTTATCACAGAAATTTGTGACTTGTATACTTAATGACTTATCTGTATTGCTAGGTTTAACTGTCTCTTTATCAACATCAGCATTAATACACGGAGGCTGTTTAAATCCGTTCACACTACCCTGCTGAAATGATGATGGAAGTTCACGCTCCGTGCCTTCCATCTGTCTTGACGATGACAATTCCGCATCACTCCCATTACTCCGGAAAAGGGCATTATTACTTACAGTCTTTATAGGTAGAAGATTCAGTACTATAGGTTTATATCTTGGATGTGAACGAAGTGTAGAGGAAAGAATCTGTTTTGTTTTAATTTCATCGGTTTCTTTGCAAACAAATCTGTTACTCGTGTCTTTGTTGTGTGAACCTGTGTTGCTTAACGCACCCAAAAGAAAATTTGTATCCTTATGAATAGATCTACTTGCCAAGACTGATGGTGGCAAAATTTTCAAACTAGCTTCATGACTATCTGAAGCAGCTGCAGGAACCTGGGGTTGACTAGAATTCTTTACAATATCTGCTCTTCCTTCCAGCATATCTGGCTTGCTTAAAGACTCTGGAGTTGATTTTTCTGACATTATGTCTTCTTTTATAGGAGTCTGCGCATACGGACTGTAGGAAGGTGGTGATGCTGAAGATGACAGGGATCCTGCCAGATCCTGCGCCCTTCCAGGTGAGTGAAGAGCTTTCAAGACATCAGAGGCAGGCTCGTTCCTTTTTACCTCGGGAAGAAGATACCCGAGGTTTGCCTGAAGTCTGGTATGAAGTGCAGACTGATTGCCCTTCCCTGCTCGTTTTAAATGATTTTCTATAGGAAGACCGAAGCTCAACTGTCCTTCTGAGGAAGAATCACGTTCAGGAGGGGGTGGTGGAGGGGGATAATCTTCGACAGGTAAAGGTGGAGGGGAAACTTGCTGATCTTCTACAATAGGAGGGTATGCAATATTTGAAGGTAGTGGAGGCGGCGGCGGCGGCGGCGGTGGTGGTGGTGGCAGTGGTGGATAAGGAAAATACAGTTTAGAATGACTAAAGTTTGTTTGTGGATTGTGGTAATACCCTTGTTGGTGGGAACTACTCATTCCACTGTAAGCTCCATACATATGATCGACTGATGTTGAAGCTATATATGATGATTCAGTTCTCTGGTATTCTCCCTGCAATGAAGAAGTAAAAGTTTTTTGTTTGGTGGTTCTGAACTACATAAATTATAAACAAATCTACCAAGCCTAACAAGTCCAGAGTCAGGCTAAATTTCAGTTCTTTTATGATTTCCAGTTAACATTCTGTACAGTGCTGGAACACTACCATCATGTGTGTTCCCTTTCCAATATTTTATCATCACCATCACTGTACTACTAAAACTACAAATCAATGCAAAATTACTAAATGGATGATTAAACCCAATGCTGTAATTCTGAAACTCATTCACTACTGTGCACAAAAGTATAGATTCTCAACGCTTTGCCATCCTTTTTTTATGCAAAAGACATGTTAAATGTTAATGCTGCATATTTAAATTAAATCTGAATATGATAGTTCAGTATTAAGGTACAGTGGGTCCTCTACGAGCACAATGAACGCTGATCTTGATAATCTGCCACTTCAATTATTTTTAAATCCATCAAATGTAATTCTCATATGCTTGTACTGTATGCAACAACATAACTCAATTAACAGACAACAGAACACTCCACATGAAACTGCATTCACCACAAAATATATGCTGCAATAAATACAGTTCTTATCCAACAACCAGAAGTGGTACAGCTGATAAAACATACTTTGTCACACATGTACATAAAAACAGAGTCATTTACATTTTTCTTCAAACATAAATATATTTTATATATTCAATGAGTATAAAATAAGATTAAAATAAAACAAATATGAAAATCCTGTAATTATAACATCATACGCCATTTAACCGTGGACTGCAAATAATAATTAAATACAGTTTGTCCCTGGCAAAACTACGTCCTCTAGGGATCATTCTGAGTTGAAAATTTCAAATAAACATGGGTCTGATCTGCAATGGTTTGTCAAGAAAATGAGAATTTTATTGCATTTGTAACTTCAGAATTATTTCCATTTAACTTTAGGTTACGTTGTTGCTGTTGTTGTCATTATTAAGTTTAGACTAAACTCTAAAGTGCATTTTCAATTACTCACATTATTTACGTGACTTGAAATGGCCACACTGATTATCGACGCACAGTTAAGACTAAGAAACCTTTGAAAGGAGGCGTCTGAGACCCACACTGGCTTGTAGAGCCACAGGAAGAAGACTGCATGATTCAAGGACAGATCCAAGCTGTAATTTTGACAGGTCCAGGATAACTCTATAATGCGACTGGTTAAAAGTTTGAAATCCAGAGCCCTACTCCTGGCAATGGCAGGACGTTTCTCTTTGCCAATTTGTATAGTAGCTTTGGGGCTTGCCCACCCCCATATCCAATTTCTACTGGAGTGTTTATTTCCCTGAGGGGCTGAAGTGGACATAGGATGAGTTTGACTAGACACTTCCATCTTAAGTGTCAGGTTTATAAATGTGCAGAGCTTCACCTCCACTCCCCCTACACACTTTCTTAAAAGGCTTTTCATTCCGGACTAAAACTAAAAATCAGATTAAGAGTCACAATGGATAAGAAGTAGCTTCCAAAATGACCACAGGAAAATCTTCATATAATTTGTCTGCTTCTAACCAGTAACTGAGTCAGAGAGTAACGTTACAAGAGCACGCGTAAGTTGAGGTACAGGACTCGCAGATGACGCTGAATGCAGCGAGAAAAGTCCAAAACAAACACATGGCAAACACTCTCTGTAACAAAATTGAACTTTACCTTAAGGTACAGAAACTGATATCGTTGTTGCTGATATGTTTGACTGTCGTGGCGTGCTGGAGTAGGGTAGGGCAGAGCAGATGATGTCATGCGCTCGCAATGTGAAGGAGAGCGGTAAGCGTCGTGAGCCAGTGCGGCACTGCTCCCTTGCGCTGGTACGCAAGTAGTCTGCTCCAAATGAAACAAATATTTTACACACTTACCAGGATAAAGAATACAACATGACACTATGCATATTTCATACTTCGGTATTAAAAGTGGCCTCATAAACCTTGGAGTACAAAGATCCATTACTCTGTGCAATTTTATAGTCAGAAATAAAATAGTTGCTTTTGCTGCACAATCAAAGTTCAGGATTTTTCTCTCTACCTTCCTAAAACAACCTAAAATAATAGACAGATGGCCACAGCCTCACGTAAGCTACTACTGCAGTGCGATTCTTAGAAATATTGCGACTACCTGTACAGGCAGCTGACGGGGCAACGCAGCCGAAGGCATTGTACACCTGGTAGTGGCAACAGGTGCGTGATGATTTTGGGGGACACTCACTGCTGTGGCAGCAGTCTGGATCCTATTCAAAGCTGCAACTGAAGCAGTCAATCTACTTTTTGTCTGCTCCTCCAGCCTCATCCTTTTCTTTGTTGGAGTCGGAGGACTAATAGACATTGAACTAGAACGTCTTCTGTGTTTTTGTGAATCTGCTCTTGTAGAACGGGACTTTCTGCTCCTTGGTTTTGACTTATGATGTTTAGTTGGAGACCTAAATCTTGTTCTCATTGGACTTCTTGACTTTGTTCGTCGAATTTGTGGAGATGCAGATCTGGAGTGTGACCTCTGATATTTTCGTCTTCTCCTCCAAGGCGTTATTGATCTGGATCTTCTACTGGACCTACATGGAAATCTTGATTGCGACTTATAACGTTTAGTTCCTCCTGGAGACCTAGATCTCGATCTTGATGTCATTGGACTTCTTGACTTTGTTCGTCGCATTTGTGGAGATGCAGATCTGGATTGTGATCTCTGATATTTTCGTCTTCTCCTCCAAGGTGTTATTGATCTGTATCTTCTACTGGACCTACATGGGGATCTTGATTGTGACTTCCAGGTCTTTCTCAGCCTCCCTGAACAAGATCTTGTCCTTGCTCGTGGATACGATGCATCACTACTGACAGGTGACAAGTCTCTATAATCTGTGCTTCGTTTAGGTGATACTGACACAGACTTACTGCTTATAGGAGAATAAGGTAAAGAAATTATTTCTGGGTCTGACCCAGGAATCTGAGATTCTGGATTACTTAATTTAGTCCCTGCTTTCATTGAGGAATCTGATCTACAGTCCGTTAGTGTTCTTGGTTCTTCAGTTTGTTGGCCTGTGGTATCCAAACGGGGTGAAACTTGGGATTCACAAGACCTTACATGAGAGGATTTTGAACTTGAGTATCTTAGTGGAGAAGGTGTCAATGATTTCCGTCTATGCAATGATAATTCAGATGCACCCGCACTACAAGAACTGCAGGTTGATGGTGTCCTGGAACACGACATTCTTCTTCTTACTGTTACTTTTGACTGTAAAACCTTGTGTTCACTCCTGCACTGACTAGATTTCAATCGTAACCTTTTCCTGGTAGAACGTAAGCTAGAATGAGATTGTCTTGTTGGATGTTGATAAACTGTGTGGGAATTCTCATCCTTTGACTTTGATTTCTTCAAATGTCTACTTCGTTCCGGCGTCAATAAAACATCACTTTCACCGTTACCTGTACCTGTTTCTGAGCATATTTCACTGGAGCCTGACGGACATTTGAGCAATGGAGGATAATCTTTACCTACAATTTCACCGCCTGTATCAACAGGTTTAGAAATGGGAAGGTGTGACAGTTTATGTTTTGAAATCACACAAGCCGCTGAAGACGGGGGCGACCTTTCTGATGATGAAGCATGTGCTAAGTCACCAATTTTCAAAGAAGCAAGCTGTAATTCTCGCTTCATATGAGGCAGTCTGGGATCCGTGAAAGGCAAAATAACTGTTTCCCTCCCAGACAAGGAAGATGACGAAGAACACGAATTATTCCCGTATTTCAGAAAACTACAGTCTGTTTTGATATTGTCTAGAGAGACACTATTTCTGTCATCCTCTTCACTGTCACCACGTTCTCCTTTAAGCACATCTAATGAATCTACTTTGGACCTTAGGCTGGCTCCTAAAAAGGAAGCGATACCTGTTGTCAGACCATGTAGTGCTGGTGATGAAGGATTTGAACCCTGCACAGTTACAATATTTGTACTACTAACTGAAATTAATCTGTTACTATAATTTTCTCCGTCCCTTTCTTGTCTCCTCTTCTTCTTTTTACTTTTAGGTGATCTTCTCATTCCTTTCACATGTGTGGATTTTCCAGATGATTTCTCCAAACTAACATTTCTGTTCAGATTTATAAAAGATGAGAGTGATTCTTCTTTCGACATTCCTTCTTTACTGTTCGGATATTTGTCTGTCCCTCTATCAGCTGTTTTCTGTGAAGTTCCTGATACTAGCTGTCTACAGACTGCACCAGATAAATCCTCTTCTGAACCTGAACCCGAAACTGCCTGTCTGTTATTAACAGCTGCAACAGACGGCTCATTTTCTTCCTCTTGCCTCTTCTGCTGTGAGACATGAAAGACAATCTTCGCAGTAACATTACTGGTACTTGCAGCAGATTCAGACTCAGTGTTTTCAGTGGAGGCAAGAGGCGCAGAACCTGGACACTCGGGTGCATTTCTGCTTGCAGTTTTTGATGTTTCTGTAAGAACATTATGAAGTCCAATATTACCATCAGAACTGTCACCACAGTTTTCTTCAAACAGTTCAATAGGAATTGCTTCCAACTGATTCAAATAGCTATCAATTTCCTCATCAATGTGAAATTCTTCTGCGGAATCGTCACTTTCTTCAGGAATATCTTGCTTGACATCATTCTGACACTTTAAGTCCTTCTTCACATATTGTGGCATATTTCTACATGTCATATTCTGTAAGTGCAAAAAATTTCACTGTTAGCCAATAATGATTACAAGAATGTAACATACATGCGCGCATGCACACTATAATACAAAGGCCAAACTTCATGTGTGTTATAATAAATAAATTAATAAAAAAAACGTCAAATGTTCAATCATAAGAACAAGTAAACATGCAGTGAAGATGCTCATTTTGCGATGTTGCACTGCGTAGTCTCATAGAAACTGACTGACATTTCAGAGGTGCTAACTGCCTCAACACGAAAAACATTATTATCCAGCTATCACAGACAATCTCCCACACACATCTCCTGTGAAAACTGTCATACGAAGGGAAAAGGTACTGCTTAGTGATATCTTCTTTACGTCACAGGTTTCTTTTCTCGTCTTGAAACTTTGTGACATTTGTCTTCACACTTAGTTACATTCCCGCCTTGTATCTAAACTAATCTGAAAGTGTTATGCAACAAAAGAAAGAAAACACTTACGGTCTACTTTTACAATGTAGGCAGTGCCATTTCAAAAGTGACTTAGGCAATGCAAATCATTAATCCCAGGACCTCAACAAACATCTATAAGCACTCCTCAATAACCTTTACACAATGGCGGTGGTTTTAACCTCGCATCTTCAGTATATGAATGAAACCTGGGCATGCATTACGAGATGTAGGATTTTTTCTTATCGATTTGCAGAGTTGGTACCGACTTCAAAACGTAGGTTGCAACATTATTATGTCGTTGCCAACATTGTACAAGAAATATACGTAATTATAGAAGTAAGGAATTATTCCAGGTTTTATCGAAAAGAGCCCTTACATTAAAAAAATGTTATGAGAAAACAGATATAAATTTCTGTACTCATTTTACAAGTCCATTTAGAAGGCAAGTTGCGAATATTACTTAATAGCCTAGTTTACTAAACTACTGACCCATGACATTTGAGGTTATGTTGACAAAGGAGCCCACACATTTTACTGTGCACATTTAGATTTTTTTTTTATTTAAAGTCACTCTGAAACAGTCATTCGTTATAGTGCCGTTTGAATGTTTTGTTTTTAAGCATTGCATCCTGTTGTGTATAAATTATAAATTAGTAATTAGTCCATGAACACTACTGGCATGAAAGCAAGAACCAATACATGCTTTAGCTTTAAAAGAACATTATCACGTGGTTATAAAATATTTGTCAGAAAATTGGAATGTAATTACATTCAATGATACACAGATATGTTATAATAGGTTGATCACATTTCATTACATCAACATGACAGAAATGAAAGTTAATATGTTTGCTAAATTTATTGGTAAGAATAAAAACTATTAATATGATTATATCAACTAATGTCTTCTTATAATGTATTCTCTTGTTATTCATACTGTATCAAGTGTATTGCGGTAATTAATTAGTGCAATCAAAAAGTAGCACTCTACCAAATTTTAAATCAAACAATATTGTAAAATCACTCCATGGTGACAAACTTTTTGTCCTACACATTAAAACCAGCATGACACTAAGTTGTATACACATTACAGCTTCATTTCCATTTCTGATGGATGCTGTACATGAGGGTTGACACTCCTTGGACATGTTGGAACTTAGAAAATTTAATTCCATTTTGCAAAGCTTTTAATTTAGCTTACTGGTCAGCTGGTCTTGTATGTGCTAAATTCTGACAGTTAAGTATCTATTTAAAACAGTGTCATCACGGGACTTTGTTGAGTGGATTTGTGCCTAATCATATCTCGTGCACAAAGGTGTATTTCAAGTGACCCTCATACTTAAAGGCATGTTACTATGTCCTGTAAGATAAGTGCTTGTTTGCATTCCACAGTTATTAGAATCTGTGACATAGCTAATAAGCAGTGACTTGGGTGAATTACAAAGTGTTGCATCAAGCTACAGTTCCAATGAGCTTTAATTTGTCTTTATTCTTTTCTCACACTTGGTTTTAGTCAGAAATAAAAAAAAAGATATTTTGTAATTAAACAATTACACATCTGGCTGTAACTGTTCTGGCCAAATGTAGGGCTGAACCCAGGACACAGCCATTCTCAGTATTATGCCTTCGCAAGCTACTTTTTCACATCATCAGTATGTATATAACAAAAGAAAACACTTGGCTGCATTTCGTGATAAATAATCACCTAAAAATCAATACATTTATCAAGGTGCTCCCTCTGAAACTCCTAAGTTTCACTTATTATAGTATTAGACAAATATTAAAAGCTAACCTAACCCAACCTTTATGATATAAGTCAAATGCTGGGTCAGGGCTACCACATTATAATTTAAAAAATATTAGGAGGGTAAGAATGTGAAAATTGGTTGGTTAAGGTGGGAACAAGAGCGTATAAGGGGAAATCATTTTCTCCATAAAACAATGAACATTTAGAGGTTTAATTGGTATGAATTGAAACTTATTTTATTCAGTTTTATTAGTCTTGTGTAAAGCTAGTTTGAAGCACAATATTTCCATACATGTAGAAAGCAACAGGGTACTATAGCTTACAGTGGCATGCACCTCATTGTGAGCATATATTTGGGAACACTGCACACTCATCAATAAATTAATATGAAAGAAAAACCATTTATTCTATTTATATACAATACTTATACTTAAAAAAAAGAAAAGAAAAAGAATTAACATCAGCACTACTGTAAAGCTTTCAGCTGGCAATCACTTCAGAAACCATTCACTGCTCTGTCTGTTCTGAGTTTTCACAAGTCTAACACTTTGTGCAACAGGACAGAAAAGCAAGCCTCTTCGTTGCGTTATTTTGAAACAGTTTTAAGTTACAGAAGGAAATTTTTGTTTTGAACAGCAATAATAATGTTTGGTCTATATAGATAATAGGTACCTACATGTTTCCTCTAGAATTAACCGTAGCAGAATACTATTCTTTCTTATGCTCATAATATTAAACGGAATGCAATTACCTACATTTTAAGTTATATGCAATAACATTCCTAATGAAAAAGTTATTAAGACAGTTGGCAAAAGAACCACAATAACCCACTTACCATCTTTCAAAATAAAATACAATGGAAAATGTAGTCTGCTCTCAAAACAAAGTAAGTTCCTTCACTGTGTTCCAGCAAAAATGCTGTTGTGTAGTAAAATAACATTAAATGTAGTCTCTTTTTTCTCCAATAAGCCCAGCTGCCATAAGTGTACTTTACCTGAAACATCAAGGGAAATAAAACATGCCAGTTCATGTACACATAATAAAGTTCATTCACTGAATTTAGAATGCGGTGAACACTGAAAAAACATTTAACAACAATAATCATACCAAAAAAGGGATATTCTGTAAACATTACCAAATTAAAAAGAATTCAGTGAACACCAAAATCTGTAGGAGTACTATCTATATATACCGTCATTCCATTCAAACATTGTATATACATGTGGGGGCGCACACGTGTGCGCACACATACATGCATGCACAATCACAACTGAGGACTTCTGAGTAGTTTTCATGAAACATTAAGAAAATTATACCTACAAAGTGATACATCCACCTTAACCTGTCTTTTAAAAAAGACAGTATCTGTGCTACAACAGAATTTGTCTAATATTTTGCTATAATTAAGAGCAACGGGTAAACAAACACACAATACAAATTTCCTTCACATAATTTCAGAATTTCCATTTCTCTGTTTTTAACATGCAATTATAACATCTTCATGATCAGAATACTTCTGAAAATATAAATACTCAAACACTTTATATTAACAAAATTATAAATATGTTAAGTGAAATACAATCTGAAGTCTCATTATCAATAGCTACCACATGCATTCTCCACGTCTTCCATATTGTGTACTTAATACATATTTTTTAAGTTATACACAGATTAAAATGGAATGAATATGTAAAGACCTGGGAGCAAGATTCTGAGAAAAATACACGGCTTTTCTAATTCCACTTTGTAACATTCTGAAAGACACAAATTTAAAGATAACAAACTACGTGTAATACATAGCCTGTGATAGTCCAATCACATTTATTTTATTATTCAAGACTCCCCTCAACTGTTGCTCCCCAGGGCAACAATGCTCAAAGTATATATATATATATATATTCTTCTTCTTCTCCTCAAGCACTAGTCTGCTGTGGACCTTGGCTTCCAGTACAATTTTCCTCAATTCTTGATGGTTCTTAGCCACTGTATGACAATTTCTTAGCAATCTGTGTATCTATTTTCAAAGTATATAACAGTAACAATGTTGACCAGCAGAGTTTTAAGTTCTGGCAGAAGTGATGGTATACAGAATCTTTGCACACGTCACTTAGGACACAACTCATAATCTTTACAGCAACAGTCCAGTCCCTTAACCCAAGATGACGGGAAGTTCTGTATCTTCGAGATTAAATTTCGAGACCTTTTAATTCAGTGTCTGAAATTAAGGCACGATAACAAAATTTCTTACTTCAGTTATGACAAACTCTAAATATAAATCACATTAAAATAAAATGTGAATATCATTAAGTTTTGTCATTACTAGTCTTCTGGGTAGTAATGCCATGCGGACTGGTATGTAAATACCAACATTCTGGAGAAACATAATGTTTCCATCTTCAGGGTTGAAACATATGTTTCTACAAATAAGTTCACATGGTATTACTACCCAGAAGACCAACCTTAAAAATCTTCACTGTCATAAGAATAAACAAATCTCAAAATTCTGTTTTAAAAAAGAAAGAATGTGCCATGTTTGTCAGTTACTAAAGCAGTCGTGAGTTCTCAGTCCATTTTATACAGAAATAAAGGTTTGTCTTGGAATGTAAATTATGTGTGCATTCATTTGATATGTTGAAACAGTATAATTAAGTACATAAAACTTAAGTGTATAAATGTTGATAGTATGAAGAATAAATTCAAGCTTAAAGTCCCACCCCCCAACTTTCAATCGACTACAGAATATGAGTAATAAATACCCATGATTCTTTGCTCACCTCTCTTTACAGGAAGAAAGGCCCTCATTCATATGCAAGAGCATATTCATAATTTATCTCATCCACTATCCCAATATGACACAAAATATTGGGAACTGAGAGTTCCGACAATCTATAATATTCCTTTCCAAATAATATAACAACACCGAAGTTCTGCATTCTGTATTAAATACACAACATTTCTTGTGATACTTTGGTTGGATCAGAGCACACAGGAACAATGAATAAACCTATGATGTTAAAGTACAAAAACTCTCCACAGTAATGGAAGAAACTTAAAAAAATAATATAATATACAAAAAGCTGCCTAAAATAAGAAATAAAAAAACTTTATTAATACAAGATGGTGGAAGCAAGCTGGTTAGACACCATGTTCTCATAAACTGTTTGGAGCAACACGGGAAGTTTTGCTGGTACAAACCGTTAACACAACATTGCATCATATAAAGTTTGAAAATTATGCCTGAAGTAATTAAAACTGATTGTCTGGAATGTTGAGGAAACAAATAACCTACTTATGTGAAACATACACAGTAAATGAGGCCTCCATTTCAGGTCAATACTTTTCTCTGTGACTTCTATAAATGGTATGACGATCACTCTTAACCTTTTGCCGTTACTCCAAGGAAAATCCCAAACTGAAGACTTTCACTGAAAACAAAAGAGTAATAAACAGATTTCTGTTTCCACAGACACCTCTGTGCAAGAAATATGGAATATCCAGATACTAATTATGTATAAATCTGATGGCTTCTACGGCAGTTTACTAATAAAATGAAGCTTTTGTTTTTCAGTGAAGAAATAAAGTGGCTTTGGTCTGTGTAACTGAATAAATTAAGCTAGTTTCACTTGAGATTGCAGTGAACAGTTACAGCCCAGTAGAGTGGGTGCACAAAAACTGAACGGGTAAACTTTCTCATCACTCTAACAAGTGGGGTGGCATAGAGAACGCTGTATTTTATGTTCCAAAAAGGAGATCCTAGCCTCAACAAACGTGAGCAGTAGTTCTGCAAGCGAACGCGTTCTTTCATCAATTATATTGTCACATAATAATAGTCAAACATTGATAACAATGCATTTTAATATTATGAAGTTTTCATATTCTTTAGCACTGACTGTACAGGAGGTATATTAATTGAATTTCACACAATCCAAAGTTTCATAAAAACTGAACAAGAAATTTGGAATACAGATATACGATGACACTGCTTCACCTCTTGCACTATGCCGAAGTGATATACTGGAAAGTACGCTCATATTACATGTTTATCAGAACATGGCAAACAATTACTACAGAAAACACAGTGAAATACTTCTGGTGACATAGTACTTCCAGCGCATGATAGACAAGATGGATTTGAAGGTCCACCTAAAAGTACATTAACATCATAGCCAATGCCATTCATAATTCACAAGAAAATTGCAGTATAATATAAAGAAAGACTTCATACAGTAACCAGAATGGGAAAGAAGAGCAGTCGACTTGAGAAAGTATTTGAAGATACAACCCTCAACTGGAATAAAAATTAAATGCTTTGACCTGATTTCCTCATACTCAGTCCGCGTTATTTACCTTCTCGTGCCACAATCTCTTCTTTCTCATATCATTTATACCGAAAAATTAAATTCATACACATACAATTTCTTGAGAACCTTTCAACTTTCATTTATCTGCAAGCTGATACAGGAATATGATAACACCACTGCTAAATAAAATTAAGCTTCTACTTTGAATTTCCAGCACTTCTTCAGTCATAATGAGGCTACGTAGAATTATTATGTAACAATGCTGCTTGCTGTTGTATACAGACACCATAGTATAAATAACAGACTTTCCTCCGATACTTTTCTTGGGTCAGCTGGCGACGATTCTTACACAGAGCTTTGAATCTTCTGCAGCAAGACTGTGTGTGTCGTATTGGCACCACGTGTAGGCAGGCTTAAGGATCTCCTCTTGAAAGTGGATCTCATCCTACCTTGTGTCTTTAACCCCCAAATGCTCTGTGCTTGCTGTACGACCGTGAAAACTCATGAGGTATGATCCGCCGCCACTCCCATGCTGCCAACACAAGCAAGTTATCATGTGTGTAATACACACATTTTCAGGAACCTAACATCTATTATAATAGGGGAAAAGAATTCAAATTATGTGTCTGTTCACGCTTTACATGTAAATGAGAATATGCATGTAACTTACTGCCTAAAAGCAATGCCTAACAAATATTACACAATAAATTCCTTGAAAATTGTGTTGATATGGATTACAAACAGAACACTTGGTAAGCAGGACTGACTATGCTAGTGGCAAATCAATCATCATGCACAACACCCGCACTTTACAGGTTCAGTTACAAACATCAGATTATATGAATTTTACTTGATCAAAGGATTATCTCTCAAAAAGAATGTAGTAAAGTCACTGTTTACAAACATCCTCTACTTTGAAAACACGCATCACAAACTGACCAAAATGTCATTTCATGAAAAATGCCCGACTCTTGCCGCAGACAATGCCTACATTCAGTGGGGTACAACTTTTGCTTACTCTGAACTTTCTCCTCGTATTTAATTTGGAGAACGAGGTTTACATCATCGTAACACCTGAAGATGACTGCTTTATATGATGTTGAACCATGTAGTGTAATAGAAATTGGCTGATGTTTCGGAGGTGCTTACTGCTCCCACCATCAGGGCAACAAGATATTTTGGATATTCCATATTGTCAGCCTACTTGCCAGAACAATTAAAACACTAATATGAGAAGTGTAAAATTCAGATGAGTATTGGCATATTACTTAAACACGTGTGAGAACCTACTTAGCCTTCTCTTTGTCTGCATACAGAAATTTAAATTGCAAGACTGGTATTTATTGGAACACTTAAATCTGTGAAACTCACCTGTTCCAAGTTTTGGCTACTAAGAACGGACAGTGAACTTGCGCGCTTCATGCTGAAACGATAAGAAAAAAACATGGAAAACCAACAATAATAACCCGAAATCCACCTAACTCTGGTTTACTGCTTAATAATGACGTCATGAAGGTGCCCATACTGCCGTCCATACTGCTGCTAAGACTCGTCACTTGAAAAAGGAAACAGATCAAAGTTGCAAGAAACCTACAATGTAAAAGTTATTAGTAAAGTACAATAATGTTGTCACTGGGTAAGCACTGCTTGGTTTATCATAATTCTCACATTACAATACAAGACGACCTTCTTACCCACTAGCTCCTTCCTCTTCAGCGCTTCAATCTCACAATTTCCTTACCTTACAACTGAAGGAAACATTATGATCTATATTTTATAAAACGTAAATAACGCGCACGCACACACATACATTTCACATGCAAACTCTTCAAATGTGAAAAGACTCGACTTTAACCCTAACTTAACTGTCACTTACCAATATAATAATATGGAACGTGTTTTATAAAAAAGGTTGAAATTAAATAAACAATTATCAGAAAGATTTTAAGAGCCCAAAGGAAATTCTGTAAGCAAACTGTTTAGCACAGCCAGTAAGGAAATGAAATTAACTGTCAATGCGTCAACAACAGACGTGACGTTGCTTACTGAATTTCTGCTCTCCTTTTTCTAACTACAGTACAGGAAAGCTACTGTGTGGTATTGGAATATGATCCAAGTATGTGTACATTGCGATAAGCTGCTTTTATATGATGTTCAAGTGTGCTGAATAATAAGTGCTTTGGAACTTAAAAAAGATTTTTGATACATGACAGATGATGTTCAAGTGTGCTGAATAATAAGAGGTTTGGAACTTAAAAAAGACTATATACTGTTATTTTTGATGTGTACTATGACTGAAGGTTGATAAAGCCTTTTTAGGAGCGTAAGAGCTCCCCAACACACAAACATAAAACTGCAAAAACGTGCATCTTATATGGATGCAATTCTTTTTAATATACAGTTTTGACTTTAACCTTCTGATGAAAGACAGCAACAAAATAATGTAATTCATGAGACAGTGGGGAGGGGGCAGTCAAGAAAGAGTGACGTGAATACTTTATTCATAAACTCAACACACTTGTATGTATTTTATTCATACTGCCAACCTTATGTTATAATGTGAAATCATACAAAGAGAACCTTTTTGCTCCATTTTAAACCAGGGAAATATTTTTGCATATCAGTCCCAAGTGTTGAGGTCATATTGTGTTTAAATGATGTAACAAAATATGTATTTTTAGTGTAAAGAATTTGTAAAATGACCAACACCATAAGCAATTGCTCCCGGTTGTGATTCAAACATCAGTGAACTTACACAAAGTGCAGCAAATAGTAAGTTCACAATCAAGTCAGGTTGATACTTCAGGGCATATGAGAAACTTCACAGCGTGCAAGAAAGACCCTTCCTGAATGTCTATTGATCTCACCCATTCAAACATACGTACATTTTAATGTACCAACAAATAAACAAAAAGTAAATAAAATACATTCTAATTACAGCACACTTCAACCAAACCTATCTTTCAGAGGAAGTACAAGATTAGAACTGCTAAATTTATAAATTAATTATTAATTAATTATTTATTTATTTAAGTTACTGTACCAGATCTTCAGGTTATGTCATCAAAGTATACTGACATGACGGGTGGACCAATGAAAACCCTGAAAGGGATCAGGTGCCCAACTAAACTTGGGAATCGATTAATTAAAATTAAATTTAAGATATGTCAGATACAAGGATAATGTACTTAAAAGTAATTAAATTTTAAATTCTGGGAGATGTGACATTCCAAAATATATTTCGTTATGTTTCAAACAAATCTTGAGGCTGCACCAAAAATTTCTGGATGTCCGGATAATCCGTGTCAACATCTCATGAAATCTGAAATCATTTTGGCAATACGTTCAGTGCTAAATCATCTCAAATTAAGAACAACGACCTGTAGATACAAATGTGAATTTCAATGTTTAAAACTTTCAGCTGAAAGAGCAAAATATCTGGGAGTTCTCAGCACTGATAATCCACTATGTCTACGTTGTGTCACACGATAACGCACATTCCTGTGTTCTGGAAAATTTCCACTGTTTGTCATTGCTCGTGTTCAAAGCAACCAAATTATATGATTAAAAGTTCTAAGGGGTTAAAACATACTGTTATGATGCACTATGCTTGAAGTATTTTGACATTTTCAAAATAGGACATTAAAGGATCTCATGTATAAGATATGGCTTGAACTACCAAACTGACTATTATACAGTCATAAATAAACACCTGAAATTAATACATGCTTCAGCCACCAAACTGAATAAAGATACAAAGAAACATGCATAGACCTTTCAATAATAAGAACAGTCTACTTACAAAGCAAGTACTAATGATTCTTACCTAATTCTGTTGAATTAAAAGCCTTTCACTGTTATAAATGGCACAATTCTGCCAGATCCAAAAGAACACTGTTATAAATGGCACAATTCTGCCAGACCCGAAAGAACGTATCAATTTAACAGAAATTCTATCGCAAAGAACAAACATAAGACACGTGTCTTAGGTAAATAATTCAAATCCGAAAGTTATGAAATTGTATACATGACAGCTGACTTACTGGAAAGATATTCAAATTCTGTCGTTGGGGAGAAAATTTGAGGATCACTGTCTTCTGGGATGTTGCACCGCGTAGTCTGGTGAGTACTGTCCCATCTTTCATAGGCGCATATTCTCTCATCACACTGAAGATGGAGGCAGTACTCTCTTCTGAAATGTAGGTGTCAACCAGATGACAGTGCAATGTCTCAAAAGATGGCCGTCTTCCGACACACTCCCTTTTACCGACAGTGAGAGGCTTAATAAAAGGCCAAGTCTGTGATAATCTGAGCACGGCCTAGGAAAGTTAGTACTACATATACGTATATACAAACTGTGACAGATTCTTCACCACATTCTAACCCGAGAATCATGCATTTTACCAGAGCGCATATTCCAACCAAGGCATAATGATGAGACACGGGTTGGAATTTCATATTTCTGGAAACAGAAAGGAAAGGAGCAAATGAAAATGAATGGGCACACCAGCTTCTGGTCTATGCTGATTATGTTCATTCACTGAGTGAAAACATAAATATCATAAAGAAAAACACATAACCTCTATTAGAAATTCAGAGAAAACTAAGTATATTATGTTCATACCAACAGAATGCAGGGAAAAGAAAAACATAATATAAAGTTTGAATATACGGGAATAAAAATAATCAAAATCATTACTTCATCTTCATTTCATGGTATAAGACATCTTCTTGTTCTAACAAAACCTTAATGAAAAGTGCACTCAAAGAAATTAAGGGCAGATTAAATTTGGGGAATATGAACACTTGTAAGATTTGAGTTTTCACAGAAATCTTCAATATCAATACTAGTTAGCATTTCAGACACAATCGTTTGCTTTCCTGTCTCCTGCGTAAAAGTGTACATAAGCTGTAATCTTAACCCTTGTTTTGTACGGCTGTCAAACCTGGTTGAATAACACAGATTTTAGGAGTTTGAGAAAAGGGTGCTGACGGGAATATTTGGAATTAAAAGGGACAAAGTGACACGAATCTAAATAAAACTGCAAAATGAGCATCATAATTTGTGCTCATCAAAGGACACTGAAATAAAAGAGAAGAGGAAGAGATGGTTGGGACATTTCTGTTCTTAATAAGGCTTGCCGATTCTTGGTCCCCAGCACCAATGAATGTATGATTACCGCATACACTACTTTTAGGTCATATGACAAAATATTCTGCTTACAACTGGTAAGCATGTTTTGGCTTACTCGGAATAAGTTTCCAAGTCCTTGATAGTGAAGACAATGACAAGTTATCAAACAGCGAGTTTTGTTTTAAGATTGGACACAGAAAGCATACTAAGAAAATTTCAATGTATTTATGGAAGAATCACAGATCTTACAAAAATCAAAATTTACTGGTACATACCGTAGAACACCAAATTATAGTTAAGTTTAGATTATTAGAATGGAATAGAGGTAAAAAAAATTTGACAGAAATTACTGATTAGGAAGGTCACACTTTCTGTGAAATACCAATTAAAAACCACTGACACAAACCTAAAAAAATCACAAATAATATCAGGAGCTTACTGATAACTCCGTGACATCTAAAGGTGTGTTTTTCTTTTCTTCTGTCCACCATTTTATAATTTTATTTTTCTTTTCTTCTGTCCACCATTTTATGAAAGATGGAGAGAATTTAACATCAATTTTGGAGCACAAATGCCTGCTTACATCACACATCCAACATGAAAGTTTACATTACACTACTGTAATACTTCAAGACCAAGCGCACAGTCAAATTAACAGATTAAGAGGAGTGCTTGTAGATGTTCAAAAAGCAGTAATACGAAATGCAGTTCGAAGCAAAGACCAGATACTGTAATTTGGTTTAAAAGATTAAGAAGGGGTTCATAATAATGAAACAGCCCCACACCATTGTTACATACCTGTAACCACAGATGTGAGAGTCCTTGGTGGCTGTCTTAAGAGAGGGGATCAGACCACGGATCAGGAAGTACACGGGACGTGGTGGCTGTCTTAAGAGAGGGGATCAGGAAGTACACGGGACAAGCCAAACACGTGTTTACGCACCTGTTACTAAAGTTGTGTATCATATGACTGGGGTCTTCTGGCTGCCCGTCACCCCGGTTTGTCAGTTTCTGAATCAGCTTGGCACTCGACCGTCTTATTGAAGCCCGCAGCTTCGAGAACGAAGCGCTGCGCCTGAGTTTGCCGTACTATAAAACAAGTGGGAGAGACAAGGGGGGAAGCAGACATGAGCCAGCAAACTGGGTTCATGTACAGATGCCATTCAATATGAAGGCCACGATACAGAGAGCTACATCATTTATTCATTAGCATGATCAATATGCAGAAGAAAGGCAAATTCACTATACGTTGACTATGATATCGAAGAGCTCTTGTATATTAAATGGCACTGCAACTACGGGAAGGTGTATAAAGCAGGTGGTGATAATTTCTATACAGTCAGTCAGCATCCATCATTACTCGCACACTTTACATCAGTTACAAAACGTTATATGTGCTATTGGCTATGTACAGAGAAGTCTTCACAGTAGATCCGTAATGTTATAACCTGACAGCTTAATGACGCCATATCTCGAAGTTTGCGTTCCTGGTTTTCCATCCTAACCTCTAAAGAAATAAATATAAATGGAAAGAAACACTTTCGAAAATATAAATTGAAAATCAGACCAATTATTAGGGAAAAATTAACTGAAGTTGTAATATAAATGAAGATTTTAATAATCTAAATCATATGATATACCAATATTCAAGACATGCAATTCAAGTGTGCAATACACAAGATGCTCATCATCATATCGAAAGGTCACATACATTAATTTCCAATGTATAAGAATTCACACACTTCCTACCTTCAGATACAACGTACTGTCTATTATTAATGTCAAAGACGTATTTTAATGTATGTGTAAGTTATGTACATAATCTTCATCTGAAAATCATTTAAGAATTTATGCCATATTATAATGAATAATGTGTCTGGTGCTTATAAAAATATACAGGTTACCTATTGATCAAAATATTTTGTCTTCTCGCCTGATTTCTAAAAACCTGAAGATTAAAATATACGAAACAATAATTTTGCTTGTTGTTTTGTATGGGTGCAAAACATGGTCTCACTCTGAGTGAGGAACATAGATTGCAGGTGTTTGAGAATCGGGTGTTGAGGAAGATATTTTGGCCTAGGAGAGAAGACGATGCATAATGATGAGCTTAAAAATTTGTACTCCTCCCCCAATATTGTCAGGGTGATTAAGTCAAGAAGAATGAGAAGGGTGGGGCATGTAGCACGCATGGATGGGCCAAGAGGTGTGCACCGGGTATTTGTCGGGAAGCCCGAGGGGAAGAGGCCGCTGGGGAGACCTAGACGTAGATGGGAGGATAATCTCAGCCAGGATCTATAGGAGATAGGAGTTGAATGAGACTGAATATTGTTGGTCCAGGACAGGGATCGGTGGAGGGCTTTGGTTAATTCGGTGATGAACCAACCAGTTATTATTAATGACACAACCCGCAGTAAGCATGGCAGACATATAATGGAAAACCTGTTTGTAGGTAAAAATTTCATATTTAATATGTTTTGTTTGAAGATAGCAACAGGAAAAATTATGAAGTAGTGGTCTTCTGGGTTGCAACACCATGGAGTCTTGTAACTGGTTACCAACGTTTCAGACGAACACAATGCCTCCAACTTCAGGGCAGAAGATGGTGGTGAGATGTTCCTTCAAGACATTGGTAACCATGTTCCATGATCACAACCCACATTTTCACTGCCACAAAACCCTCAAATCTTACTAACAAATGACCTTTCGAATTATGATGGCAAAGGTACAGGAACAAGCAATTCTTCAGAGGACATGTGAGAAATATTACAATGAACTGGACTTAATGTCAATTTTCAGACATAAACATGCTCAACAGTAATGCGAAGTATACATGAAAATTAATTCTGTTTGGAAATTCATTCAAGGAACAGAAAAAAACTAATGATAATGCCCAATTTATAGTGTGCAGAAGGACTATTGCAAATGTTGCCTGCAAGCAATTATAGAACGTGAGGTGCTTAAAGCAAACTTAAAAAAATCTATAAATAAGGAAAGTGTGTGAGTAAAGGAGAAAGTCTTCCATTTTGTAAATCATAAACTCAACAATTTCGATAATAACATGATATTTATTGCATTTAATGGCGTTTCTATACAGAATATGTGCAACCTCGTACAAATCATGACACGGAGTTAACCAGAGATCAAGAGTTCTATTTATGTCTAAGCCAACTCCACAGAAATTAAAGCAATGGATTAGAAATTTTTGTGCCAATTATGAGAAGTCAGAAGAATAACAGAACCATTCTCTTGGAAATGCTCAATTTACTTTGGAAATATGAAGACCAACAAAAGCAGCAAATTTAAAAAAAATAAATTAGTCAGTAATAATAAATAACTCCTTTATTACAAACAAAATTATACACTAGGAAGGGTATATTTCTGTACACTGCTTTAAAAAGTGCTACGTGTATCTTAACACCATGCTATTATTCACATATTCCGTGAAATTCACAATCTACTTACTTAACTTCAGCAAACATCAGAACCAAAATTACAAACAGAAATGTGAGCACCCCTCATTCACCACAGGAAACAAACGTTTTGAGAGAAGTGGTAAATGAAATGGCAGAATCAACCGCAGTAATTGATTTTCTTGCTTTGCTTTTCATTGCGGTCGATCAGTTTCAGCTAATATTACTTCCTCTCACCACCACAATGACTGATGGACTTTAGGAATCAGACAGAGGACTTGAAAAATGTAAAATATGATAAAGAAGAATAAAAAATTAAAAACAAAGGATAATAATTGTAATAATAATAATAATAATAAAGAATGATACATTCCTTTCCTTTTATATTAGTTATTTAAAAAAGTAGATTTTTGTTTCTATAATCTTAGGAATTTTCATGAGTGAAGGCCAAGTGCGTGGAAAAGTTTGTTTTTGAGGCCACCCTGACGTACGTCGGAACTTGAGTTGGTGAGTTGGCTTTGGCCTTCCGGAGGGCTTCTCTGTACATAACCAATGGGTGCGGGAGTCTGCAGACAGACAATCACAGAAAAGTGCTTCAGTCTGACACAGAAAGTGAGAAAGAATTCAAAAAAAAGTTTCCATAAAGAAATCAAAAAGAACTACAACTAATTCAGAGTATATTTTTGTCTCTCCAGCGCAACTGAAGCCGATGTATCACTGTTCACTTCTTGGCAACATTACAAGAGATGACACTTTGTGGGCTGACTTAAGAAGCAGATTTTAAGACCACGCAATGGTGATTTCTCTGCTGGAGATCACACTTACATAAGGATGGGAAGAGGAGATTACATACATACGTACGATTAACAGTCGAAAGGGAAACCCTCACCAGCATCTTCCCCTCCTTTCAAACGAGACAGTGCGCTAATGAACTCGACACTCACCAACAGTCATTATTCATATTCTAAGCCAACTTTTTATCACCTTGCAGAAACATACTGAATCAATAAAAATTGTGCTGGTACAATTTACTTCTTTCGCATTAACTGTAAATTCTACACACGGCCGAGTCATTCTTTTGCTTGGATTAATTTATTTACTTTTCATAAAATTCTATCATAATCAAACACATAACGAAAGGTTGCAAAAGATTGACTTAGAATCACATGTATTTAGCATATAAGAAACGAAGGCAATTAAATGATAACACACACCTCAACAACAAACAAATATTTACATACTCGTAACAGAAACAAACAGACCGGAATAAAATACTACACCTGTGTCACTGTTACCCCAGTAAAATGTCGATTAAATTGGTAAACCAAAGAACTGCAGCACAGAATAATAAAAACTGTTAATACAGGATACTCACTACATTGTCACTTACCCAGAACCCCCCCCCCCCCCCCCCCAAGATCAGATCAGATTAAAAAAACTGATCATCTTCATATGTGTTTCACGACACCAACTGTAATTTGTGTATCTGATGAAAAAAATCCTGCCATAAAAGAGACGTTATTTTCTTTTGTGACAGCACTGTCCAGCCCAAAACAGCAAAAGTGCAAATTGCGCGGCAGTGTGTAAAGCATATCCCCCCCCCCCCCCCCCCCAAACACTACTTGGACAACTGCAAGACTTATCACAATCAAGATCGAGAAAAATCTATTTTCTCCGAAGACTAATACGCAGTTTGCCTAAGCAATCAACAAAGCAAATCTTACAATCGAAAAGACGTCAATGAATGTGAAGCCACCTGCTCGGAGACCAAATTCTCATGGAAAACTATTCCATGAATAAATCACATAAGCTGTATTAAGGATGTTTATACTACAAACTCCTTATCAAGGCACAAACCAAGGTTTTTAACAAACAAAGAGCACCAAAATGAAGTTGTAATTCACACAACTCACTGGGTGTCTCTCAAATGGCACACAAAGCACGTTTTTATATTTTGCAGCTTCAAAAGTAATCTTCAAACACAAAAACATGCCAAAGAAAGTGTAAGAATCTGAAGCATTTGGATAATAAGCGATGCAATCCACACATGCATACACACACGCATCTTCAGACAAAACGATTTTAGTCGTAAGTATTAAAACAGTTAAACAAAAGTTCCACGAATATAAAAATTATAATAAAATACACTGTAGCACTCCAATTAAAAACTTAATTTTTTTATACAAGTTGTAAATTTAATGTCTATGTTATTTTATTGCCTTGATCCAAATAAAGAAGGGAATATCTTTCAACAACTAATGCTGCATTCTCATCTAGTACGCTCAGCAACCAAACTAAAATAAATGGCAGTGCTCTGATGAGCACTTTCCCAATGCCACAAGCAACAAACACTCCATCCAGCACAGATCACCATGGTGAGTGTACTCACCTCCTCGCCTTCGTACTGCATCGAATCCAGTGACTCCCGTGATCCCCTCCTGCTGGTCCGCTCCTTCCCAGTTGAACTACGCCTCTTGTCACCACCTTCTCCGCCCAGGATCGGTGTTCCCTTTGCTTGTTTCACAATTTCCAGTGCCTGCAAAGAAATCAAAGTATAAATTTATGAATACGTCTGGTTCTACCACACTCAGACCCAACACAACGCAGACAACGTGAATTTAATGAAACCAAAGAAATTAAATTATTCAGAGCTTATTTTAAAAATGAGAGCCTTATTCATACAAAGCATCGCTCACCTCCTTCCTAGACCGAAGGGCACAGTCTTCAAGCGTATCGGCCGCTTCGTACTTTCCTTGGCGACGATACAGAGCTCCTAGATTCTTCAGAGTCGTGGTTACAGTGGGGGAGTCAACCTTGGCTGCCTTGTGCCAGCCACCGTATTCACCATATGGAACGTTCTCCTTGTTGCGGTGTTTGTTTTCCTCACGTTCCTCTGCCACCTGCCAGATTGGCTTGTTGTCTCCTGAACAAGCAGCATAATCAATAATTTATATTTCTTGCTAACTAACCAGACAGATTAAATACCAGAATGTATCATGTGATATCGAACAGGACACAATGAAAGTACAGGTCTGATAATGAATTTCTTAAATGAGATTTATGGTTTTCACGGAGGGTTCATATTGCAGTCTTCAAGGTTCTGACGGTGTGTAGTATAGAAGGCGGTTGCCAATGCATCGGAGGAGAATATCACTTCCATGTTCAGGGCAGAAGGTAGTTCAAACGAAAACATGGCAACACAACCCAGAAGATAATTTCTTACATTTTTACCAAGTTCACTGAATTTGTGACCTGATGCTCGATAACTCTAATTACTGTTTCTGTTACAGATGCCCATAATTAATTTATGTTCCATGCACTTTACATGGAACTGCCACTTTGTGGGAATAATTCAATTTAAAATCTAACTGATATTTATTGTTAACATGCTGGTGAGTAGATTATGAATATATTTATTTGCTACATGTCATTTCCATTACTGGTATCACACACAAATAAACAGCAAAGCTGAATATGGAATTCACTACTGCATCACGTGTTTGTTCTATGCACTCGTACTATCAACACATAGTTGAACAGCAATAAAGTACATAAGGTAGAATTCTAACTGCCTCCTGGTGGTATAAATGTTCAAAAGTACTCTTGGGCAAATTCTTGTTCCTGGCATTTGTTTTCAAAATCATTTGTGCTTTCTTTCTGCCTCCAACAGACATCTCTAGAACATGTAGGATTTGAGGTTTTCGCAGTGGTGAGTCTGAAGATTGCAGTCTTCTGGGTTATTGCGCCGTGTAGTCTGGTAGATTTTCACCAACGTTTCAGAGGCCCAGATTACATGGCGCAATAACCCAGAAGACAGCAATCTTAATCTGTAGAATAGTTAATTAAATAATTTGTGTTTCAACGCACCATATACTTGCACGGTGTTCCTTTCATACTGGATCTTTCATTTGAATGTTCTCAACCACTGAGAAATATAGCTTTATTTTATAGCTTTCACTCTTACACCATGAAAGGTAGATGGAAGCCGAGAAATTATTTATTTATTTAATTTATTTTCATAATACGTCACATCACTATCCCTGATAAAATCGTAGCGGGGATTAACTATGATGTGGTTGTGTCTGACATGTTACTGCATGTTAATAGCTCATGCCACTGTTTTGAGTCAACTGCAGTGGGTACTTAAAACCATCACGCGTAAATCCAAAATGCAGGTGCCCGACAGAATAGGAAAATGCTGAAGGTGATGAGGAGAGCCACAGACAAACTTCAATAAGCATAAATGATCAAATGGCATCTTAAGGGTGCGATTCAGTGCAAAATGAAATTCGACTATTCATTATACACAAATTTCTTATGGCTTATGTCAAGGAACTTCAACCAGAGATCTGGGAATGAGACGTCCATCAGCCAAGACTGTCCCAAGACAAGTCAGTGATACAGGAGCAGAGAAACGCTTCGTTGCGACTTCTGATTTGCTTGAATGCGCAAACAAAGCATCAATTACCAAAATGAAAATCCCATTCTTTGTACTTATTTATATTTCTCACCAATACAATTTTATTAATTATGAATTACGTTCCAAAGAATTTAACAGACTGTCATGATTCTAGTTGAAATGAATAAGTGAGGAGAGTAACTGAAGACAAAAATATTTAGATTAAAATTGGTATTCTGCAAAAGCACCACATGTAACGGACATAACAAATATTAAAAACTACTGAATGGTTGCGTCACAAGCTAATCAGATGTCTCTTAAAACTGGTCTTTTCTTAGCACCCACAGACAGCGTGGGGGAAAAAAGTCCTCGAACAAACAAACGTTGAATAAAAACAAACAGCAAAAGTAACATTCATTTTACTTGTGTTCTTTCGATGCACACATCAGAATTAAACTTTGTGTGTCTGCCTATCAAACAATGTAAGTCACACATTCTTGCTGCATTGCATCTTTGATTTTCTCACGTACTTCTGGCCCGCCTGCATTCTTAAGACATGATAAATGCCCATCCTTCACGAACAATCTTCCTCACTTGATACTGTCTTGTTCTTTATCTTTCCCCTTTTTGCATCTGTACTCTGCTTATGTTTATTTGAGTAGTCAGCAACGAGCCAACCTTCAAGATACACTTATCTGTCTTTATGTCCCACCCAGCATTTGCATAATTATAAGTGGGGGAATACTATATTCAGCCAAATAAGAGTCATTACAAATATATACACAAAAGTTCTATAAAATAAAAGCATAAACAAGTTTTACATAACCAAATAGCAATATATTATTATTGTTATTTTAATTTTAAAGCAAGGACAATGAATACAGAAGTCAAATATCACATGCAAAAGACTACAACAAAACAGGATCACAAATAAAAAATGTAAAACAAGCAGACAAATAACAAACTGTTTTTGTACTTATTCTATTCCATCCTTGCAATATCAAGAGGCCTCAGAAGCCACGGCCTGCCTGCCCCCACCTAATGACAAGGTATGACCGACCCCCCCCCCCGC